GTCTTGTGCATGAGCAGCCGCTCCTTCGTTTTCGTGAGTGTCTGTGCAAGTCGGCGGTTACTAACAACTATATTCAAGATCGATCCAACACACAGCGGTAGCCTTTGTACTCTACGACCCGAAAAGCCAGGTCAGATCACAAAAATCAATATCCTAGAATTGCTCACCGCGCTTGTGACAGGCAACACGTCCGCATTCAGGCTCTTTACCTCCTCCCTGAGCGAAGTAACATCGAGAGTGAGCTGGTTGTATGTCTAACCACATCGTGAATTAATTTGTATGATGTTGATTGACGAGAACTTACCATTTGAAGTTTTTGTTTTTCTGTCTTCGCATTTTCGTATTTTTGGCGCAGTTTGGCCACGACCTTGAGAGTTGGTGAGGATGAGAAGTGAGGATGTTCTCACAAAATCAGATTTTAAAGCCTCTTCTCTGGCCAGCTTGAGCGCCTCGCATGCCTGGCACAGCTCAATACACAAAAGTTGAGCAGAAAGCCTATACGTACCACCGCAAGTTCAGTTGCCTCCTTCTGGTGGCTCTCCGATATCTAGCGAGGTGCTACAGTCAGCACAAAGTAAGCGTGGAATGGACGAGACGTACTGCTCTCAACTCGCCGTTCTCCTGCTCGAGGTCTTTTTACCCCTCGCTTCCAGACATTGGCATTCCTACGAAATAAATTATCGCGCGAGGTATGAGGCAGATATGGCGCGTACCTGTTCAACAGTAAGGGATGGGTCCAGACCGCTCTGAGCGGCAGTAGCCTGCAGCTTCTGTAAAGTGACCAAGTAAGATGAAGATGAAGTGCTGCTGAAAGATTCGTCTATGTACCACTTCCGGCTCCTCCTCCTCTGTCTTCACCTTCGACTTGGAGGTGTCTTGATGGGCAACCAGTTCTTGACGCAGAAGCCCTTTTTCTTGCTCGAGGGTCTGGATGGTGCGCTTCGCCACCTCTACACTACTAACCAGGTCCGTCTCAACTCGAGACTAAGGGTTCAATATTCCCCAGCCACAGCAGCGCAAATGTGTTCAATAAATTGAGGAACAACATGCTCCTCGTTCGTTCGAAGCGGGGCCAGGACGCAAAAGGTGTTGTTGATTCATATCGCCTACAAAAATCGCTGTGAGAGTGGAACAGACTCAAGAACCGGGTGGTTACAGCGCACGCCCATGGTTGGGGCGTCTACGGATAGACAGATAGCATGAAACGATGGGTCACATATCTATCATTAGAAAATACAAAGACATGTATGAGACGCAGTGAGGAGAAGAAGTAAAGAATGATGAGCCCGCGTGCGCGATTTGCGAGATAAGGTAAACAAACGAAAGAGGGAATGATCGGAAAATGTAGATCTGCGACTGGAGGTAAGTACACAAAGTAACAACAGCCAAATAGACGTATCCATCGAGCTCGCCCGCACAATACGCTCGCCCCGCGATCTGAGCGCTGGCCGACGAGGTTCCTCGGCCCGCTAAATTACGGCACCACAATCCCCCAGTATCCCACCCGATGCCCAAGCGAAAGAGGCGTCGTCCCCGCTAACACCGAGCCGCACATACGGGAACAGGCGCGCTGTGTGAGAGAAGATGAGTACTGAGCCGAAGGTGAGAATCGCCAGGACGTACCCGCCTTGGCGCCCGATTCTCTGTATGCAATTCCCCACCGTGCTCAGGTTGCCTTCGCACCCCCAGTAGGCCTCCCCATACCGCATCGTCGGGCAGCGGCGTGTGAGCGAGAAGCACGACGTCCGAAAAATCGCTTATGGGAGGAGGCGCTAGCGGAATTGCGGCTCTGGTAGATACTGAATGATCAGTATGTAGATGAGGTGGTGGCATCAGAGGAGCCAGACATACCGTACCGTATGTCCCGTCTCCTCAAGAGGTCTCCCACCCTCGCTATCTCTGCCTGCTGGACGCACGGAAAGGTTGTCCGGTGGCGGGCCTGAGGGGGAGCTGAGCCGTCTGCGCGCAGCCTCGACCACAAAAAACGGAGTAACAACGGCGCACGCACAGCAAGAGGATGGAGCTGCCACGATGAGGTCAGCCGTCCCTCGGAACCGCGCAACGCAGCATTTCTCGCCCACCCTGCCCCCGACGAAGCTGCCGTCCAAAGCTCGCCCTCGCGGGTAGTGTCCTCGCCCCGATACCAAAAGATCCCTCCGCCGCGAGGGACACAGTCGAGCTTGAAGGCTGCGCCACTGACGAGGCCCCATAGCCTGTCCCGGTAGGTAAACTCTAACGCAGTATTCCAAACTCCAGTAGCCGCGGCAGGAGCGCACAGAAAGCGCGAGAAGAAGCCTGCAAACGACTTGGTGGGTCGGTCGGAGGCGAGGCGAGCGATGGTCGTCAAGACGAACGCAGAGAGTCGGGGAGGAGCGCGGGTGGTACGAAGAGTATGGCGGCGGCGATACGGGGACGATCTTCCAGGTTCCTACCCGTCCCAGGTCGCAGACCCCGCGCGCGGGCTAAACGGGGCGAGGAACAAGCCGCTGCGATGCAGATGTGCGTCGTATTGGTGGCGAAGGACGTCCATGGGCGTGGCACATGGGAAGATCGGCACGCCCGATTTGCGGACGGGGAGCATAAGGGGCGCGGGGTATCGAGGGAGACGGAGCGGGACGTGCGGTAGGTGCCGGCGCGCGACGTGACTGGCGTGGCGCGGGAGGTGGCATACGGCGAATCCGAGAAGTAAGGGTGTCGCGGGGCATCGAAGGAGAGCGATGGTGGATGTCGTAGATGTGGCACGGGCACATGGGGTGGAGGTGTCGCGTCGCTTGGATTTGATCTATGGTGGCGGTGGCGACGAATCTACGACTCGGCGATTCTCCAGGCGTAGTACAAAGCGCAGCGGGTGCGGGACACGATCACGGCGGGAGTGTCGAAGGAGGAGTAGGCGCCGCGGCAACACTGGGAAGATCGGGGAGGGTGAGTGAACGTAGTGGGTGCGGAGTTGGTGAGCATCTCAGCCGGCGCGGGTGTGTGAGCAGCCGTAGAATGGTGTTGGGGGGCAGTGCGATGGCGGAGGGCGGGCTGTGATAATGATGCTCGGCGTGGAGAGTACGGAGACGTGGGATACACGAAGGGGTGCTGGCTGGCGACGTTTCAAGGAGGACGCGGGGGAGCTCAAATCGTCCGTGCTATGTTCGTACACGAGTGAGAACGAAGCGGGATCCGATGGTGGTGGCAAGAGGCCTTGGGCACGAGGAAGGATGGCACCAAACAGGGCATCGTAAGATTCGTAAAGCAGCAAGAGCAACATGGAGTGCCAGATCGACGATTCCGGACTTCGAAAGCTGGCCGTTTCTCAGATCTCAGCACTGGTTCATGGGGAAAAGAAGGATTTTACGTACCTCGGGGGCGAACACGTAAACAGCCTGTGCGCGCTTTGACGCCAGCGAGGGCGCCTTCCACCGCAACGACGCGTCTGCTCAATTGCAAAGCGGGGAATAGATCTACGCGATCGTTCAGCATGAGGGAAGGCGAGAGAAACTGATTAAAAAAACAAGGGTCTCAAAACGCCGCAAGGAGCAGAGAGTGAAAGTGAAAGCCGAAGATAGGACGACGGAAACAAAGTCACTCACAAGCTTGAAGACGCCGTTAAGCCGCGGAAGGCGCATCTGTGGCGGTACCGGAACGAGACTGTCCGTGGATGATTCAGATCGCGGGTGGAGTAATACCCTCTACTAGACGCAGGTTCTTCTAATCGATAAGGCCCGGGGCCAGCAGATTCGCAATTTCAAGAAAAAAAGCCCAAGTGGGAAGAGAAACAAGCAAAAAAGAGGGGGGCACGGAGAGTCATGGAGGGAAGATGTAGCGTCCAGAGGTAGCTTTGAAAGCCTCCATTTACGCCCGTCGAATGGAAGAGAACTTGTGTGTGTGTTTGGATCGAAGGCTATCAACACCATCAGACTGATCGCCGATCGGCTCCTTGCTTGCCTTTGCTCACCCTCTGGTTACCCCTCGGATCTAAACAGGCTGTAACCCAGCATGTACGCTACCTCTGCTTTCCAGTTTCTATCCCCTTCTTTTGGGGCTGAAACTTATTGAATGAACCTCACTGGGCTCGACTGGAATCCGAATTTTCAATATAATTGAATTGTCTCGTCTTGCAGGAGCATCTTTATCCTTGTAAACACAGCGGACCGGCGCCAACGCCCCCGCAGACGATCGTTCCCGTGCCGTACGAGATGTCTATCTGGGCTACCGTGCTATGCTATGATTGCTATACGGTGCGACGTGCGAGGGCTGCGAGTATGAGGGGTATGAGGGGTAGTGCGAAGTCTTTTTGTTTTATCTGGTGTCTATTCCTCCCCCCTCCACTCCCTCTCAATCTGCTCCATCGTCCCACCCCTCACCCTCTCCTACATACATAAGTACACTCATCCTCCCTGCCCCACTCCGCCCTCGGTCTACCCGCCTCTCCCCTTCCTTTCCCTCCCTGCCCGCCCAATCCCGCCCAGTCGCATATAAGCGTATACCTACCTGCACTCTCCTCCCTCCCCCAGCCATACCGGTAAATACTTACGAAGTCGGCGCTTGCCCTTCCCTGCCTCCCTTGCCTCCCTTTCCTTCTCCCCCAGCCACATATACGCCAGCATCCTGCGCACCCCGTACCCGGGGCTGGAAAGGGCCCTCATGCCCGGGGCTGGGATTTCCGCCGCCTAATAGTGTATGTACATACTGTACATAACTGCTGTTTGCAGTTGTAATGGAATGGCGTCGGTGCATAGCGCTTTGGTGGCTGGAAATCCAGTGTTAGTAAATTGTCTGCGGAAGAAAGGAATCGACACAAACACGACCAAAAAATCTAAACGACACCGAAAAAAAAACACAGACAACAGCGAGCCAACCTGTCCCGGGAGCCTCCCGCAAAGCGATCTGTCGAATTGTTATATGGTACGGGGCCACTTCCGACTGCGCTAACAGATTGCCGGTGTGGTGTTGTTTCAGTTTAGTGCCAATGTAATATGTAGTGGCTGGCGGAAAAATAACAATTCACCTGATGACCTATCCCAGAGTCAAACTGGGACCGCCCACATAATGGAGAAATTATTGCGCCAGTTATTGTGGGTGCGCTAACCACTGCGCCAACAGGTCCTTCTGTTTTGTTGAACCAGAATATATACAGGTCTGAGTTTACAATTAAATGAACAAGCGGGATAAAAAATTAAAATGAAAATCGGGCACACAGAAATTACACGATGACCTGTCCCAGATTCGAACTGAGGCCTCACACACAATACACCAGTAGCGTGGGTATGCTACCTTCTGCGCCAAAAGGTCATTCTGCCGTGTCAGTTGAACTATGACATCGAGCGCACTTGAGTAGTCCCGAAATATTCTAAAAAAGTTAGAGGTGCGCGCTGAGATTGAATTTCTAGTGGGCGGGCTACCATCTGCCCAAAACAGGTCTTTCCCAATGTAGGTTCGGCTTTCAACAAAATGAAATGAAACACTGCGTTCAGAGCAGTTCAGAGGGTCCTTAAAACCGGTTTGTGTCGAGCTGTCTCGGCATTGATAGCTGGAGCTAGGCACGCACGTGCATCTAGGTGGCATGGCAACCCCGGTCTAGCCGGTTAAGCGGCTCTCGCAGCAGCGAGACCAGCATGAGTGTAGACGGGCAGACACGTCTGCACTATGTGAGCTAGACCTGTCTCACAGGTTCTCAACATGTGCCTGGTTGAGCCGGTCTAGACCTGACAGGTCTAGCCAATCAAGTGCACATAGACCGGTTATCAACTGATCTAGACCTGTCTCACAGGTTCTACATTTTTATGGTTTTAGGGGCCCTCTGAACACAGTGAAAGGACCCCGAACAAAAAAGCTCACAAATGAATGATCGATCATGGCCCAGACCAGAGTCGAACTGGGTTCCCACATGAAGACATTCTTGTCCAAATAGAGGGCGCTGCCGAATGCGCTAACAGGTCATTCTATCTCGCTAATTTAACAAGAATATATTAGAGTCCAATTTCTTTTTTTAAGTGTGCAGAAAAAAGAGCACAGTAAAGCCCGGATGACCCATCCCAGAGTCGAAATGGGGCCTCCCACATAACCATTTTATCAGATAAATTATTGTGGGCGAGCTGCCGCGTGCGCAAATGGGTCGTTTGCTCGAATAAATTTCACCTGGCTGGGCTTTGAAATTAAAATGAAATAAAACAGCCGGCACATGCTTAGCTCTTTCAAGAAACATTTAATTATAGTGGTTGGGCCGCCAAGTGCACAGAAAATACTAGTGATAACTGCGACGCTTTGAACTGAAATACTGAGCGGAAGGTTTTGGCTTCAAAAAAACACAAAATCAATGACTAATGACCCATCCCAGAATCGAACCGGGGCCGCCCACATACGTAGTTCCTCTCAGGATTGAGTTATTGTGGGGACGCTGCCGAGTGCGCCAACAAGTGCTTTTGGTATGTTGATTTAACCACAATATATGGCTCTGAATTTGAAATGGAGCGTCCCGGGCTAAAAATGTGCGAAAACCCACCCCAGAGCCGAACTGGACATCCCACCTAAATATTCTAGAAGATGGGGGGAGATGTCAAATCATTGTGAATGTGCTACCCACTACGCCTACAAGTCTTCTCTCCTATTAATCGAATATATGACGTTGAAGTTCGAAACCGATGAGGAAAAAAATAGTTGATGATCCCGGAACATGACGATGCATGACCCATCCCAGAGTCGAACTGGGGCCTCCCGCATAGCTTCTCTCCGCATTTTCTCAGTTATTGTGGGTGCGCTGCCGAGTGCGCCTACAGGTATTAAATTGAACCAGAATATACGCGGCTGTGAATTGAAAATGAACCAGCTCGGGCAAAAATGTGCTCAAAGTGGATCAATGACCCATCCCAGAATCGAACTGGGGCCTCCCACATAATTCTTTGAGCCTAGCCCTTCAGGTTATGGTGGGTGCGCTGCCATCTGCACCAACAGGTCTTTTCTCATATTAATTGAACCATAATAAGCAGTAAAACTGCTCTTCGCCGATCAGATCATGGAATCGAACTGGGACCTCCCACATAACAATCGTTGCCGATACCAAGTCATTGTGGGTGCGCTACCGAGGGCGCTAACAGGTTTTTCTGGTATCTTAATTGAACCAAAATATATAGCTACAGAGTAAAATTAAATGAACCAAACCAAACGAAAAACAGACGCTACAATGACTCAATAGCCAGTTTGCGCTGCAGCCATTCGAGCCATCCAATGGCGTTTTTGCGTTGTGCAAACTGGTGGCTAATGGCTGATTGATGGCTGATAAAATGAAGCCAATGAAAGTCTTTTCGGGCCAGATTGAGAGGGACTGAATGTTTTTATACATGGTTGCCTCAAGGAATGGCCCTCGACTGCATGAAAGCCCCAAATCCAAAGAAACATATATTTTGGGGCTCCAATCGGCCTGTAGGCAGTTGTGGAGGGTCTTAGCATCCAACCATGGTGTTTATGACTCGTAAGTGGCCGAATTGCACCAACAACAAGCGTAGCTGCCCAAGCCATCGAAGCCACAAGCCAACATTTTGGGCAATGCAAAACAGCCATCAGATGGCTCGAGCAGCTGCTGCGCAAACTCTCTAATGACCTGGGTTGTCCCAGAGTCAAATGAGGCCCAGTTCTACAATCACTGGGACCACCCCCATACCTAATACCGAATTTTCTATGTGAATTATTGTGAGTGCGCTACCTTCTGCGCGAACAGGTTGTTCTGTGATGTCATATATGAAATGAAATGACCCGGAAAAAAAGACGAGATAATTCCAGACTCATGACCTGCCCCAGAGTTGAACTGGGCCTCCCGCGGAGTAATTGTCCTTGATCATTTCCTTACAAGCGAATTTCGTCATATTGTACACGCCCAACCGGTTACTTTAGCTCCGATGGGACAAGCGCCCTCATTTTTACCCCACGCTTCCGAAAAATGTCCCGTAAAGCTCTATGGCGCCCAGTGATACTCGCCGAGTCGCCACTGTTCACATTGAAAATAAAGTATTGATACCGGTTCACAGGGTTGAACCTTGAAACAACTAAAACACAGAATACATACGGTACATAGTAGTCTGGCCGTGCAGATAACTGCGGTGTGAAGGTCAATGCAGCGACGCCGATGTCCGAGATTTACACTCAATTCTGCATTGTTGTAATTACAAAAATATTACCGTATTATTACAATCAAATCGACAGTCACGCGTCACGCGGGTACCTGTCGACGTTGAACTTTGGTGGTTCGTCACCCGTCACCCGGGCCGTTGTTGAATCTTCCAGACGGTTCGTCACACAAAAAATCATCGTCCCCTCACAAAAAAGCTCGATTTCAGCCAAAATTTTGTCGAATTTTTTCCTGGCGTCACGCCAAAATTTTGGGTTGTCGAACTGTCGAATCGGAAATTCGGGTCACGCGTCACCCCCCTGTCGATTTGATTGTAATAGTACAGTAAACCATTTATTCAAGTTCGATTTCGCCGTTCAACCGTTTGACTGGATAAGTATAAATCCTAGCTTCGCGAGAATTCAGTTCACAGGCATCCGTAGCGGCTATTAGGCCAATTGCCCAATTTTCCGGTTAAGCAGAACTCTGACCGTGAACAGGTTTAACCAGCATCCTCGTTCCTGTGCATTCCGAATTCATTCATATATAAACTGCAGCCCAGAACAGGACCCTCACCAAATTTTCAAACTCCGCGGACAGCCCAACGTCCCGAGTTGTACCAGTCTGTAACCACCAAAAGTGCTTGCCACATTTTTCGGCAATTGGTTACAGACTTGTTACGAGTCTATGTCGCAACTGTCCTATTGGCATGATGAAACCTGGACCATCATGCATGCATGGTTATTCCCCAGTTCAAATAAATTTGTCCCTGCAGGAGCCGATGCTCGCAGACGTATTCCACATCCCGTTTGGTTGCACGCTTGCGGCTGCTGCTAGAATATAATATCAGTTAAGATAGTTCAATGATATTTCGTCACGGCCACTTTGGTTAGGAACTGAGGATGGACACAGCATTGCTTCCTATGAAATGAATAATAGGCTTGGTAACAACTAGGTGAGTAAGCCGGTGAAAACGCGCAAACTATGAGCCCGACAATTCTTGCCAATGGCGGTCTTGAGCTATGAGTAATTAAATGGATCTTCGATCAAATAAACCCGCTTTACATCAAAGTTGCATCAAAGTTCAACTTGCGAGCATTTTTATATAAGTAGCAGTTAATCCGCCTCATCTACATCATCGCTCCACTTCCAGACAACCATGACCATCAAACTATTTGGCTCCCCGTACTCCACCTGCACCAAGCGTGTTGCGACTGTCCTGATCGAAAAGAAGGTCGCATTTACTTTCCAAAGTATAAATATTATGGCTGGCGAACACAAGTCCAAGAAGTCCAGAGCACACCAGCCCTTCGGGCAGGTTCCATACATCGTGAGCCGGCCTTTTGTCCATTTAATTCCAGCCACTTTCTGAAGGTACTGAGCAGGATGACGAGGCTTCATTCTGTATGAAAGTCGTGCCATCTGTCGCTACATCGCGCGGACAAGTATGCCAACCAAGGCCCGAAGCTCGTCCCCACCAACCTCAAGGGAAAGGCGCTCTTTAAACAGGCCGCCTCTAATGAATACTCGAACTTCGACCCTTTCAGCTCGAGGGCGGTCAGCGAGGCCGTTTTCAACCCGTAGGCCTGTCGCTAGTTCCGAGCCTCTGGTCTGAGTCAATTATAGAATGATGGGTATGGAGACCAATAAGGCCAATCTTGAGGAGAACCTCAAGACACTTTCTGCGATGCTCGACGTGTACGAGGCCATTCTCGGGAAGCAAAAGTACCTTGCCAGAGACGTGTGTACATTCGCTGTCCCATCGCAGCCCGTCGTTTATAATCCATTTGGATATCCACAGGAAGTGACGCTCGTCGACTTGTTCCACCTTCCGTACGGCGCCCTGTTGGAGAAGGCCAGCAGTGACCTTATGACCACCAAGGGCCCCAACGTCACCAGGTAGGCAGTTTTTGTTCTACACGCATCCGCGGACTGATTACCCGATGCACAGATGGTTCAATGACCTCCAGGCGCGGGATTCGTTGATGGCAGTCAAGGATGGGATCCCAAAGACTTCGTACTGAACACGTTCCGGAAGAACGAAGTCTAAATAAGCGTATAAACTGGTTCTTCAACAATATTTTTAGATGTTGAAGTTCGATTGCATTTCTCTTGTCTGTTATTAGCCGATATATGTGAGGAATGGTCTGTTCCAGATTTGGGACACGATGTTTTTGTCAATTCCAGGTAACTTGATTTCTTGACTCAAGCTTGCGCAAAGGATGCAGTCCAGTTTCAGAAGATCTATAATCGGGAACAGAGTGTCGGTTTAACACCGCTCGTGGTTCAAGTCACAAGGATAGATCCAACAAACCAAAATGAGGATTCGATTCTGGTAATGGAGCTGCAATATATTAATTTAAAGTAGCTGAAGGCTTTGAATTTATAGTGAAATGAGCCGGAACCAAAGACACGGTCCTGTCCCAGAGTTGAACCGGGGTCTCCCGCGCAATCATATAATGGTCTCAGGAACCGTTTATTGGCGGTGCTGCCGACCGTGCCAACAGATCTGTATTCACATGTTTAAATCAAGTAATAATGCCCGGTTCACCAGCGAGTCCTTCGGTAAAGAAAAGCGATCAAGATTGCGGCTCCGGATCCACGGAAGAGTCAACTACGATATGTAGCGGAGGTTCTGAACTTAAAATGAGAAGACACGGCCTGGAACAAAAAATGGCTGCAGAAAGCGCAGAATGACCTCAAACTGGGGCCTCCCACATAATTCTTTGCGCATGCCGAACATTTAGATATCGTGGGTGCGCTGCCAGTGCGCCAACGGGTCTTTCTGGCCTGTAGCTGCGGGGTGTTGAAGTGCTCCAGAGCACGCCGTTGAGACGTGGTGGACCACAGCGCGGGGTTTGCAGGACGCAGTCTGTACACGCAGGACAATGTCAAAAGCCGGACGTTCAGCAGGCGATCAAACTCGGCTTCAGAGATGGCCGCGGGCGCGGATGTCTCGGAGTGAAGTGAGAATATGTGAGCGAGGATTTCGGGAGGAAGGCGACGTATGGGCGCATAGATTGTGTCCGTCGCAGAGCTGCCAGATGGGTACTGGTGCTAGGAGAGAAAGGGCAGCTCCGGTTATTTGAATATTTCACCTAGACGTGAACATCATCGAGAAATATGGGTCAAAGTATGGGTTGCGGTTCGGGCGCAAATGAGAAAGAACGAGCCCGCCACTCGAGCGCGGCGCGGGCCCTTCCCTTTATTGAAGTTATTGTGGTCGATATTTTGGGTGATCAGCTGGGTCACCTGTGTCACAGCAGATACGAGAGTCACACCGAAGTGAATATTATCAGCAAGTAAGGAACATCGCAGTAGTAAGACCTCGACGTGCCTCCACATCGACGAGACGTACCCGCTCCCCGCACGCACGACAATGACCCCGCAGGCTCGAAGCCCCACGGCATCGCAAACACTCTGTATGCATGCACGCACGGCTACGCCACCGCACGGCGCGCCGGATACCCACACCGACACCGTGCACACGCACACCTCTGAAACCCTACAGCACGCCGACGACACCGCACGCAGGATCGAGATCCCGGCGTCCGCCGCATCGTGACCGCACGCACCCCACCCAAGCAGTACAGCCCAGAGCATATCCCGCCTCCAAATGGGGCTGCGCCTCACTCGCCGCACCCCCAAGCGCCCGCCTAGCAGCTGCCCCCACCCGCACAGAGCCCCACTCACGCGCAGCCACACCCACCCGCCCCGCTCGCGGCTGCCCCCCAACCGCACGAGCAACCTGGGCGGGCTCGCGAGTATGAGTACAGTGAACTCGCACGACTGCGCGACGGATGGTCCGACGACCACAGGATCCCTACCTTGAAGCGCATGCGCCCGGCCGCAG